GCTACATTTGGAGCATAGCTCTGTATGGGGCTGAAACATGGACACTTAGGGCAGTAGATCAGAAACATCTGGAAAGTTTTGAAATGTGGTGTTGGAGAAGGATGGAGAAGATCAGTTGGACCGATTATGTGAGAAATGAAGAAGTGTTAATTAGAGTCAGTGAGCAGAGGAATATCCTACATGAAATAAGAAAATGGAAGGCTAATTGGATTGGTCATGTTTTATGCAGAAACTGCCTTCTAAAAGAAGTTATCGAAGGAAAGATAGAGGGGCGGATAGAAGTGACAAGAAGACAAGGAAGATGATGTAAGAAGATGCTGGATAATCTTGGGGACAGAAGAGGATACTGTCATTTGAAGGAGAAAGCTGTAGATCGCATTAAATGGAGGAATTGTTTTGGAAGAGACTGTGGACCTGTCGTCTTGACAGATTACTGATGATGATGATTAGGTACAATTTTGGCTACATAATGTTTTGTACTACAAAATAAATTTCAGACTGGACTGTTGCTCCAATGTGGCATAGAGTTCAAGTGCATGAAGTTTGTATTAAAAACCCATTTTTGACTGTACTGTACTTGCAGTTACAAAGGCAGAATTTGTGGAATGCAACATTTATAACCTGGCTAGCTGGCTTTTCCCAGTCTTCGTCCTACTACAGTATATACCATATAGTAAGATGGAGACTGGAAAAGGCTGGCTAGCCAGGCATATACCCATTCCAGTCTTTCTTTTTTTTTTTTTTTGCTAGTGGGATGGGACTGAGTCCCTTGCACTGCAGCCACTTCTGGCCTACTGTACCAGCCCCAGATGATAGGTGAGGGTAACCGTAGAGCAATTAGTGGAATGAAGATTGGCAGGGGAAACTGAACTACTGATATATTGGGTTTTTGGACTTTATCCATCGTCCTGGTCCACTGATTGAGGCTAGCTCTTTCTAACGGACCCAATAGAATAGGTTTCTTCCTTCACCTGAGGACGGAAACAGATCCAGTTTCCGAAACGTCGTGTTTTTATTAGTTATCTTAAAAAACCAGGACGATGGATAAAGTCCAAAAACCCAATATATCAGTGTGTTATACACCATCGTCAGAATCCTATAGAAACTGAACTAGTTGGAGAAAACCCTCCCCAGCACCACTTTGTCCAAAACAAATCCCACTTGACCAGACCCAGGATCAAACCTGGGCCGCTGCAATGGGAAGCCAGCGACTAACCACTTGAGCTATGGCGCGGCCTATTCCAGTCTAAAAAGTATTCTATTTATATACATGGAGGGCCTTCAAACACTTCAGCTTGACTTTACAATGGCTAGAGTACATGTAGTTCATGTTCAGTTTTTTGCTGGAGTTTGGTGAAAAAGTGCTTAGTACCGATGGAGAGATATTTCATTACAAGCTGTGCGATGTGCAAGTTACAGCAGAAAAGCAATTTACTGTGCAGCAGCATCGTAAAACTTCTAAACGTGTTAAACGTTTAAGCAGATTATCTACAAAGGACAACAGACAAAGGTTGTTGCTTAAAAACAATTCTGCTAATTCTTCTTCTTCTCCAACGATCAATGGGTCAGAATTTTTTAAAGATTTGTGTCAATGGATGGTTTCTTCGAATATTTCAATAGAGAAATTACATAATCAACACTTCAGAACATTTCTGGAGACATACACTTGTCATCCTATCCCAAGTGATCAACGTTAAGAAAAATTCTCTCTCTACATGTTCTGAAGATATGTTAAATAAGATTCGAACATCTGTTGCTGACAACAAGATATGGGTTTCCTTGGATGAGACTTCTGATGTAGAGGGAGGGTATATCGCGAATTATAGCTGGAACCCTGAAACAAGATCAACCGGGGAAGATATTTCTTCTTGATTGTGAAGTTCTTGAAAGTGCAAAGCATTCAACTATACCTGTCCTATTTGATAATTCGATGAACATGTTGTGCCCAGATGGAATAGAGCGAAATAGTGTCCTCCTAGTAACAGATGCTGCTCCATACATGAGGAAGGCTGCGAAAGGACTTCAAATGCTCTACCTGAAAATTATCCATATTACTTGCCTCACTCGTGCATTGCATAGAGTGGCTGAAGAAGTTCTAAGAAATTTTTCCAGACGTAGATAGGCTAATTCCAGATGGAAAGAAAATATTCATCAAGGCCCCCCTCTTCAAGTACAGAGATTTAAAAAAGAAGCTCCTCTACTGCCACTTCCTCCACAGCCTATCATCACACGGTGGGGTACGTGGTTGGAAGCTGTGGCATATTATTGTGAATATTACACAACCATTGGTTAATGACTTTGACAGCTGCGAGTCAAGATCAATTAAAGCTGTCAAGGACTTATATAGCACATCCACAAAGTAAGTTTCCCACTAGTCCCACAGCTAGCAAACCTTATATTGCGCGAAGCGACTGCGCGTATGTGATAGAGCAATGACGTAGCATGGCGCATGCACTAACGGAATTTCCCGCGTTCCCACAGTAGCATCGTTGCAGCTGTTGAAGATGGAGGCTCTTATTCCAGCGCCCGCCGACTGTGAAGTGCGGTCAGTGATAAAGTTTTTGAATGCACAGAGCATAGCACCGATCAAAATTCCTCGTCAGCTGTGCTGGGTCTATGGACCTAACATCATGAGCAAGCAGATCGTGCGTCGCTGGTGCAGACAATTTTCAGCAGGTCGACAAAGTGTGCATGATGAGAAGTGCAGTGGGCAGCCATCCATCATTACTGACGACCTTGTGGAGCTTGTGCGGAAACGCATTATGGAGAATCGTTGTGTCACAATTACGGAACTCAGCAGTCATGTCCCGCAGATTTCCCGCTCCTTGTTGCACGAAATTGTCATAGAGCACCTGTTGTTCAGGAAATTGTGCGCCAGGTGGGTGCCGAAGCAACTGATACCACAACACAAAACAAAGCGCATGGAGTCAGCACTGACATTTCTGCAGCGGTACCATGATGACGATGATGAGTTTCTGGACTAGATCATCACAGGTAATGAAACGTGGATTGCACACATTAGCCCAGAAACCAAGCAGCAGTCAATGCATTGGCGTCACAGTGGATCTCCCTGCAAGACGAATTCAAGCAGACGTCAGTGCAGAAAGTGATCTGCAAGGTATTCTGAGACAGATGGGGCGTTCTCCAAGTTGACTTCCTGACCAGAGGTGAGATGGTGAATGCTGAGCGTTACTGTGAAACACTGCAGAAATTGTGACGGGGCCATTCAGAACAAGCAGCTCAGGATGCTTAGTGCCGGTACTCTCTTCCTGCACGATAACACCAGGCCGCACACGGCTCGATGGACAGTAAGTCTCCTGCAGGAGTTCAGCTGGGAGGTGTTTAATCATCAACCCTACAGTCCGGACCTCGCTCCCAGTGATTTCCATCTTTTCCTACATCTCAAGAAATTCCTATCCGGTGAGCATCAGCTTTTTGAGAATGACAGAGAGGCAGAGATGGTTGTCACATGGTGGTTCCAATCCCAGGCAGCAGACTTCTACAACACAAGTATTCAAAAGCTGGTCCCACTGTATGACAAATGTCTCAATTCCGGTGATAATTATGTTGAAAAGTAGCTGAACACTTGCTGTATCTGTTGCAATAAATATTTTCATGAAATTGTGTTCTGTTTCTGTAAATGGCCCCAGGGAAACTTACTCTGTGGACGAGCCTCATATTATCTACTGCTCTAGCAAATATCTGACAGATATTAAGTCAAACGTCTGTTCACTTTCAAGTGCAATAACTTTCCTGGAAGCTGTAGGGACTGAACTCCGTGATGCGTTGGACACTGTAAAAAGCACTGAGAATGAACTAAACCATTCTCGTGGTGAAGTAAGCAACAAGATTAAAACCTAAACAGAAAGTGTTCTTCATCAGAATGCTGGTTATTCAGCAATAAGCAAGACTGCACATATAATTTCCGGTAAACCAGAAACATTCGAAGATGATCCAGAACTGTCACCAAACGACCTGACATACTTCAATTATGCTCCTGTCACATCATGTGATGTGGAACAAAGTTTGTCCTAATACCAAACTATTCTTAGTGACAATCGGCGATCTTTCAAATTTGAAAATATGAAAATGCATGTAGTTATAAATTACAATTTTAACAGTGAAAACTGAGAAGTGAATACCTTGTGTTACAGAAACACTGAAAACTGAGAGCTGAATAAGCTTGAGTTTTTCTATATTGTGTTTTTAGCTAACAGAGTTAAGTTAATGTTTATAGCATGTGCACCAGTGTTTGTCTAAAATATGAAAGTGAAAATCAATATTAAAAAGAAAAGAAGAAACGGTTTAATCCAGTACAAAATGT